TTATAAATTAGTAATACAATCATCCTCTCATACAATCACACAGTTGAGCACATAACAATAGTAAATTTTTTAAAAATATGCTTATAAAGAGTTGTATCTATCTGGAAGTTTTTTTCTTATAAATTAAATCATAGTTTAACTTAAACATAAATGTGATTACGTATTATAGAAGTGACTATATGGAAGAATGACTATACATATATATTTTTTATGCTCATTTGTAATAATATTTATAAGAATATATTAAAAAATAACATACTAATAGAAGAACGTCTCCAAGTTCTAATGGGAGCTGCTTCTCTAACTGGAGCTGCTTCTTTAACTGGAGCTTCTTTTTTAACAGGAGTTTTTTTTCTAATAGGAGTTGCTTTTTTAATGGATGTTTCTTTTTTAGACAGTGTTTGCTTCTTTTTTGTATCTGTATAAAAATTATTTAGTATATTTAATAAAGGACTAAGAGAACCTTTAAACATATTAATTTATATGTGAATTTTTTCTTAGAAGCCATGATAATTAGTAACAAAAATATCTTGCAAGAAAGTAATTTATATATACCCCATTAGCCATATTAGCTTATTATGATAATATTACACATCACTTTTTAAAATATTATTACATGTAAAATTTTTCTAGCTAATTAAATTATATCACTTACATTTGTATGTACTTTTTATTTTCGAAATAAATTTTTAACAAATACAATAAAAAAACTTAGTCTATTCTATAAAACAAACAAACAGAACTTCCAAACCCTCTCGCAGTCCTTTTGTTCCAAAGTTGCGCAAAAAGCCAAAAAAATCACAAAAAATAAATATAAGAACTTTTGCAGATGTGGAATCTTTTGAAGAAACTGGTAAGATTGAAATTGATGATAAAGGAATAGACCAAGTTGAAGAAATAGACCAAATTGAAGGAATAGACCAAATTGAAGAAATTAATGAAGTTGATGAAACTGATGAAATTAGTGATAATGCTAAAGACGAAATTAAAAAAACTAGGGCAGACGAGGTTAGATTTTTTTTTTCTTTTAATCCACAGTTTATAGCATTTAAATGTTCAATTATAAAATTTTATGCATTTTGTTTTTTTTTACATTGTTTTAAAGAAATTTGAATACATCGATTCAAACATGTACTTTACAGATGATATGTACGATGTACCATTAATCGATAACATTAAGGAAGACCCAGTGAGTGACAAAATATTAGAAGAAATATCTTCAGAATTCGATAGATTCGATGGAGAGTATGGACCATACTTTCCAAATTTTACGTTTGCAGCCTTGTATGTTTGAAATACAGAGTTCACAATATGTAAGTAATATTTCGTGAAATCTCTGTATTGGAAAGTCTGTGTATATATTTATCGGTGTACCTAAATTAGAGTCATTTCGATTCAGAATCACTACCTGGATGGGAATTTTGTAATTATTTTTATGAAATTAGGGCTTTAGGATTAGAGTTAAGGCTATAATCAGAGTTTATAATAAAATATATATATATATTTCATATAGAATGGTTATAATTACAAAATTCTTATTTGGGACTAACCTGATTCTGAATGGGGATGATTCTCACTAGGTATATTACATTATATTCAGCAACTAGTGCATATGAAGGCCTAGTCAAAATTATTACCTATTCTAAATTTTGCAAAGATGATGTTATCAAGAATATTAGACGTATGCGTAAATAGAGGTGTAGATTACCTCTACTTATAGTACGTCAACACGATGTGCCTATTTGCTCTTAAAAGGCACTATCTGTACTTACATCTACAAAGAAAGCATTTACAATATCTCCATTAGAACATTTGGAGCGTATATTAAACAATCCAGTGATTATGCCTAAATTATACTTCGGTCCTGGTATAATTAAAAATGAGAAAAGCGAATTCTGGCACGGGAGTCTCTGGCAGGAGTCTCCACTATTTGGATTGCATGAAATAAAAAGTGATAGTGGAGGTTAGTATTAAAAAGCCTATAATATTTAATATATTATATATTTATAAAACACACTTATGGTACTTTACACTTCCAAAATCAGATAATTAATTGAATTAATTGGTATGTGATGTTCTAAATATGAAAAAAATATAATAACTAATAAAATATACAAAATATCATAAGTGTGTTTTATAATAAATATCTTCACATACTAATTTTAAGGAGTTTATTATTGTTTCTGAATTAGTAATATGATAATTGAAACTGTAAATTTTATATTATTTTTTGTAAAGATAATAGCAAAAATGAGGACTTATAGGATTCAATTATCATATTACTATTTCAGAAGCAATGATAAATAACTTGTAATAATTAGAAATATATAATGTAGGTGATTTTTTTTTATACAAAGAACTATCTACTAAATTTATAGACCGCATACGCAGCATAGTAGACAATGAAATATATAGTTCTTATATATTAAAAATTGACTAACTGTTGCACTACCAGAATCTTCCTAATTGCCAATATACTAGTTTCCGATATACTCGAGGAAATAATAAAGAATTATGGCTTGTCGAAGGGGATTCTGTATTTGTTGATCCCAAAAATATTTCTCAATGTATCAATGTGTGATTTTCGGATTTACCAGAACCCGATAATTATGATTTCTATGTTCAAGAAGTTATATACCGTTTTGATGGTCATTGGAAGTACTGTGATATTTCAACAAGATATAGAATACCTTGTGAATCAGTTATGCTTAAAACATCACCACAACCCATGTCTATATATAAGGTGTTTCTTAATATAAACATTGATAATTTAGGACTTATAGAAACGTTTATCACTCGTTGGAAGGAATATATTTACAATTTGGGAATAAGTCTTTATCTTTAAAGAAACAACTTAAAAACCATTTTCTGATCAGACTAGTCCCATTTGGTGCTAATCTTAATGATGTTATTCAGCTAATACTTAAGAATATTCAACGTTTAGAAAATGTAGTTTCAATAAAACATTATATAGGAACATATAGGTTGTTGGTGGTCTTGGATGCATTACCGCATATCTGCCTCAAGGCAATGATCTTGCTGGTGTTAAACAACATAATGCTATTCATGGTTGCAGATCATGCAATATTTCTAGTGATCACCTTACGGATATAAACTATAATCACATAGCAAATGCCTGTTCCCACTATCAAACCAAAAAACAATTATTAGAAATTGAATGTCAACAAACACAAATAGTAAAGGAACATCTAGCTACTAAATATGGGTTAATAACTTCTCTTGGACCTTTTAGTATCCTCCAATGGGATCAACATATACAGTCTCCACAAGACATATATCATTCTATAGGTGAAAAGGCTCAAACTTTGCTGAATGCTACATTTAATATACTTAACAATAGTGGTGAAAAAGCCTTTATAGAATATTGGAAAACTATTGAAAAACTTAGTAGTTGGGGCAGATTGCCTAATCCAATAAGGCATCATCAAAGCTTTATGTTTTTTGATGTTTTAAAAATCTCAATGCTGATGCCATTTATACTTAGGCGTTTCTTAAACTCATATCATATAAAAAAAGAGATTTCACCAACAAAACAAACTAAGCAACTTTGTATCCTTTGGGCAGTTGAGGCTAAAGTTCTTAAACTTGCATTTTCAACTACAATGACAGAAAGCACTTATAAAGAATTACA